AAAAAAAAACAAAAAAAAACCCCTTGTTACAATGGTGTTATATTAACCATCTGATGTAAAAAAAAAGACAAAAAAAGTGTAACTATGATTATTATAACAACTTTATTAAGCTTTAGATAGCAGCACAACAGGCTGACAATGAGGTCACTAGAGGTCCTTTACTGAGCATTGTAAGTATTTCTATGAATCTGTGACAAATCAGGGGCTCTTGGGAGCTTTTCAAACTTGACCTTTGCCTGGCTTTGTACACTTACTTGTCTTCAAGAGGGTCTTCAACAAAACCTATGAAATGAGGAAACTACCTCTTCAACAAATCATGCTGGCGATACCAAACTACTATCTGTAGAGAGGTGAAGCAGAAACCTCCTACCATACACAAAAATCAACTCAAGGTGGATCAGACACCTAGGAGTAAAGCCCCGAACCCTAAAGATCGTAAGAGGCAAAGTTGGACCGAGAAGGTGTAGCTCATGGTATAAAAATGCTGACAAATACAGCCAGAAATATATAATTAGGAAAGGATAAAATTGATGAATGGGACCTTCAAAAGATTAAATCCCTGTGAGCATCAAAAATATTCCCTATCAGAGTCAAAAGCATACCTATTGGCTGGGAACAAACATTTGGCAATATCATCTCAGGCAAGGGTCTCATATCAAAAGTTTACAGAATTCTACAGGGCTTCTGCAAGAACAAGACTGATAACCCTATTACACAATGGGCAAAAGTCGTGCAAAGATGTCACAGAGGAAAATATTCAGACGGCCAACAGACATATGAAGAAATGTTCAAAATCAATGGTAATAAGAGAGATGCAAATCAAAACCACAATGAAATGCCATCTCATCCCAATAGCAGTGGCAAAGCTTAACAGCACAGCAAGTAAAAAATGTTGGAGAGCATGTGGAGAGATAGGAACTCTTATACATTGTGAATGGAATTGTAAGATGGTATACAACCACTCTGGAAAGCAGTTTGGAGTTTCCTCAAAAAGCTGAAAGTAGAAATTGCACATGAGCCAGCTATCTTACTGCTTGGAATATACCCCAAGAAAATCAGAACTGAGGCACAAATGGAGACTTGTACCAATGTTCATAGCAGCGTTATTCACTGTCGCAAGAACATGGAAACAGCCCAAATGTCCAACCACAGTGAATGGCTTGAGAAATTGTGGTACATTCACAGGATTGAGTTCTAAGTAGCAAGCAGGCGCAATGATTTTGATAACTACTACCTAACTTGGGAGGGAGTGCAGAGCATTATGCTAAGTGAAGTAACTCAGTCCCATAAGGACAAATACTGTACAAGACCATTATTGTAGAAATAGAAAGATAACTATTAAAATGTGCATGAGGATCGGGGGTTGGGGGGAAGGTAGGAGCAGGAGGGGAGGAAGGGTGGAAGTGTGAGGGGGGGCAGTGGTAAATCACAAGGTTGCTCAGATTGATGGAGGAAAAAGATAAAGGAAATGGGAAAGATCTGGTGTGAAAAACAATGTGTACAAACTTTGCAAGCAAACGAGTATAAAATTAAAAAATTTTGTTTAAGGGAAAAAAGAAATAAAAAAATCTCTAAGAATTGATAAAAAAAAGATATATAGGTAAAGTATCAAACATCATAGTCTTAAAGTTTAAGAAATAAAATCTCTAAGCTATATTCAATCTGGTTTCCTTTTTTTATAAAATATTCTTTCTTTTATTGTTATTTTGTGTGTGTGTACCATCAAATCAGATTTGACTGGTACAGGAGGAGATCATCCCACCTTCTCCAGCAGAGCATCTGGTGGATTCAAACCGTGCACCTCTAGAATTGCAGTACAGATTCTTGCCACTAGGCCACCAGAGCTCCCAGTCTGGTTTCTTTACGTTTACTC